ATATAAGTTAACTGCATTTAAGTGGCTGAAAATATTGTTCACAACTATACTCTTATCAAATAATTGAAAAATATATAATTAAATTTAGTGACTTTATAGTTACTGCCTTGTTAATTCTATCGTACTTAAAAAAATTCTTGTATTTACTATAGAAAATACAATACCGGCTTGATTATGTTGAATAAAGAATTTTTATGTTAAGAAAATACAAGCATGCTGTTATGCCCTGTAATCCCAGTGCTGAGGAAGTTGAGACAGGTGTGTGTGTGTGTGTGTGTGTGTGTGTGTGTGTGTGTGTAGGCTTCTTTGTCCAGATAACTTAACTTGTCGAATTCTAGGACAGGGAGAGAGCCTGACCAAAACATGAAAACAAAAATATAAACAACAAAATAAAACAAAACACTTCCACTCTTGCACAACACCCCCTTTAAAACCAAGGTGGCTGATTCTTAAGGAATGACACCGAGTGAGGTCATCTTTTGGCATACAATGCATGTCCTTTCTCTTTTTGTATGTCGTTCAACATTGTCAGTTTCTGTTTTTCTCAAGTGAGGAGCATGAACGGAAATGTGCCACACTGTGGTCTGTGGTCCTGTAAACCTCGTGGTAGGTGAGAAGCAGGTGTGGAAGAAAGCAAGCTCACTGATAGATGACACTGGTGCCTGATAATGACACGATGGATTTTTCTGTTAGTTCGTTAATATTGCTTTATTATTGGCATGCACACCAATCCCTAAGAAAATGAATATAAAATAGGACCTGCATCCCAGCCTCTTTGGCAGCCAGAGCATTACTTTTGAGAATCTGTCTCTGTGGCACTGAGCGGAGCCATTTCCATTTACCCACATTCAATCAAGGGTTTGTCTTTTGTATCCCTGGGCAATTGCATAACTCTAATATTGACCTTAACCGAAGTCCTTTGTTTTGTACCCTAACAGCCCGAAGCATTAAAAATGCGTGTTTACTTAATTTGTCCTGGCATGCAGTGTAATTACAAGCAGTTTGTTTTCTCTGTTGTAAAATATGGTCTGGAGAAGGAATAAAGTAATGTGGAAAATTAACATTGTGATGTACTGTATAGTGGAATAACACTAAAAACACTCAGCCGGGCTGGCTCTGGAGGTCCTATTTGTGCTGTGTGCAAGAGCAATAAAGAACTAAATGCCTCTTCCTGAGCTATATTTGCATGATTTTCGACTTCGGTTAAGATTAGTCTTATCTGCCTCCCAGAATAAACAGCAACACAACAACAAAATCAAAGACCCACAGCATGCATGGTGCCCTGTGGCTTTGAACTTGAGTCTCTGTGTCTGGGCTACCCCAACAAGTCCTTGTGATGGGGTAGACAGGAGGGAAGCTGTCCTTGGCTGAGTCCCAAGGGCTCAGGTGGCATTTGTGTATCTGTGCTTGGCTCTCTGGGACTGGGACATGCACGGATAAGTGTGGGGATGCTGGGTGACACTGCTGACTATGGTGAGTGGAAAGGTTTTGCCATTGTGGCCAAGTCCTTGCTCTTCCTCCTCCTTCCTGCTGCTAAACATTCCGGATGCTCATCACAAAGGACACTGTATAAATAATAAATTACCCTGTATCATTTACCTAACGCTGAGATCACAGATAGAAATGTAATGAGTCTCTTAAAATGAAGGCGACAAATTCACCATCTACCTAGGGGCCACCTTAGGACATGGTCCCAGGACACAGAGCTTTGCACAAGGTAGCCAAGCTGTGCTTCCCTTAGACTCTCCGACTAGTCTGCTCCCTCTGGGTTTTAAACAGTGGCAGGGAACAGAATACTTTGTGAGCCAGGGCTGATTCAGTGCCATTGTCCTTTCTTCACAACCTGCCTGAAAGTGGTCTTATTCCACAGTGTGGCATTTCTTTTAAAATTAAAAAAACAATCCCCCCAAAGAAAAACAATGTCTTTGTCTATACCCAGGTTAGCCTGGAGCTCTTTATGTAGCTGTGCCTGGCTTTGTGATCTCTTATCTCATCTGGCCAAGTGCTGGTGTTACAGGTGTGCTGGGTTGTAATATGGCCTTGAAATGACTGTGGAGGGTGGGCTCTTAAACACCTTAACACTTACATTTCTTTGCGCTGGGAAGGACTTCTTTGTTCCCCAAAGAGGACATGCTCCTCTACCTTGGGTGTGGTCACAGTATGGCTATGTCACATGCTCCTCCACCTCGGGTCACAGTATGGCTATGCCTAGCTGCAGCCAGGTTATGGAATCACCTCCAGCACCTACAGAGGTGGATGGGGTTGGCTATGAGAAACAGAGGGACTTCATAACCACAGCCCAGGGTGAACATTCCACAAACCCGGGGTTGAACATAGATTATTGGAGATGGTTGGGCCAGCAAGTACCTTAATAATTCCCCCAGTAATTTACGACCTTTAAGAAAGAGAATCAATAGCATTAAACGTTGCCCCAGCCAGTGGCAGTTCAGAGTGGGAAAGAAACTTGAAGTCTTTGTTTTCTGTCTGCTGATGTGCAGTTCCCCTGATTCTGGAGGCATCGTCCCCTCCACACATGCAGGGGAGGCATGCTCCTTTCTCCTCTCAGAGCTCTGTGTTCTCTGCTGCTCTGCTGGGATCTGGTTCCTCTGGGACCGGTGTCAAGAGTGTGGGTCTGTGAGGGTCTCAACTACAGTCCCTCCTGCTGCTGCCACCTGTAGGCATGGACAATGATACCTCAGGTACCCTTGTCACACTGCAAGCTTCAGTCTACACTGTAACACAAATTTCACTAACATAGAAGAAGAGAGGAAAATGGAGTGGAGGGAGATGGCAGTCATCCTACTGCATTTTTTTTTTTTTGACTTGGTGACCCTTCATGAAAGAACACGAAAATGGAAAAAATATTTTTTTCCTTATGACCTAACTCTGTTCATCCGTCAGTCTGTCGGTCTGTCCATCTTTCCATCCATCCATCCATCCATCCATCCATCCATCCATCCATCCATCCACCCACCCATCTATTCATCAATTTTCCTGTGTGTTGAGTGCCTTTAATTTTGGAGTCACAGCAGCTGTGTCTATATACTGTGTGAGTGCTGCCTTTAGGGAACATGCAAGTCAACGATGGTGCTGATGGGTAAGGGCCAGCTGATGCTTAGCAGCTGAGTTCTAACTCAGTGCCTGGGCTTGGCTTCAGTTTCATTGTCTGTGTCTTGTTGAAGTTCACCTTGATCTAAGACCCCATTTTATTAAGATGCAGTACTAAGTACCGAGAACCCAGTACTCACACAGGTTCTTTTCTGCCTATTGGAGCACCACATGGGGGTTTTCCTGGGCCGTGGTGGGCTCTGAGTGGCTCCCTCTTTGTCTGTTATCATGCTTATGCATGCTGCAAGACAAGGGAAAGCAGCTGGCTTCACACTGAGCATTTGGGGTGATGCTGGTGGACAGAGCATATGTTGGCATATGGGTGACAGGTCTTTCTGCCCCTATGACACCCTGAGCCAGAGATGGCATTCAGGAAGACCACAGAAGTGGGTATGGTGAAGGAGACACCTGCGACTGCCCCTCAGAAAGGTCTGAGAAGAAAATCACTAAATGTCTGTGGCTCAAGCTTCCAGGTCCTGGTTGGGCCTTTGCCTAGGTGTGTTGTAGGGAGCACAGAGTGTCCAGGTATGTTGTGGGGAGCACAGAGTCTCTGGGAAGACATTTTCAGGTGTTGCAGGCCACGCTTTGTCAACAGTTACAAAGAACATCCTTGGCAATGTTGAACTGCAGCAAGCAGGGCAGTATCTCCTCAGAGGCATCTTGAAGGCATTCTGCAGACAGCAGCTTCAGGCTGGCATCTGGCTTGGTGCCATGGAATAGACTGTAATATCCTAGGGATGGTCTGTTCCAAGAGTATCTGCCAGATCTGAACTGGCCTACTGTCTCTGCCTGGGTAGGTCTAGTGCAGGGGGTGGAGGGAGGGGTAGGCTAGTACTGGCTTTATAGGCTTCTGGGGTGACTTTATTTCTTGTGATTCCACCTTGTGTGTGCCTTTACATTTCCTTAATTTTATTTTGAATTGTGTGTGTGTCTGTGTCTGTGGGTATATGTGCAGGTGAGTTGGGTCCTGTGGAAGCCAGAGTGTTACCTCCCTTGGTGCTGGAGTTACAGATGTTTACTTCTCAGTGTAGTAGGTACTGGGAACAGAACTTGCGTCCTATGCAAGAGCAAGTGCTTTCACCATTGAGCCATCTCTCTGGCCAGCTTTCCTCTGTTTTCTAACCCAGCATTTGGTCTTTGGTTTACTTATGATCTCATGAAGGAAGAGCAGCTGGCACTGGGGCTTCCTCTTGTGAGTTTTCTCAGAGCAGCCCTGGACCTTGTGTGCTGAGCAGCAGAACAGGGAGAAGCCAGGAGCTGGGGTGCTGACCCTGGAAGCTTGAGCAAAAAGTCATGCCCTTGCGGCCCTCTCTGGCCACTGACTACGGCTTTCCCACTTGTTTTTCTGGATTGTCTGCTTGTCTACAGGAACAAGACTACATTGAGTCTATTCTGTGGCATCAATGGGTCATAAGCAACTTTGAGAGAAGAAACAGAACCCCGGTACATGAATGAACAAATCCTCAAGATACATGCCCCAAGAGGCAATGTCTTTGGACAATCTTCAGCCACAAGGGACCTGTTCCAAGTCTTTATTCTCCTTTGTTTGAATGAATCAGACAACAAAACCGTTGGAAAGACAACCCACATGTTCTTAGTTCCTAAGCTTGCTTGATTTCCCACATTTGTGTTTCTTTCTTAGAGAAGGATACTTTGAGGACCTCATGGACTCTCTATCCTGGAGACCTGGCACCAGAGGCACAGAAGCCAGGTAGCCAAGGCTGCAAGCCATGACTCTCAGGGAGACAGACTCTCTTGGAGTCACCCTGATGGCAGACTTCCTGCCATTTGATGCTTTATGGGAGACTGTGAGGTCATTTCTCAGCAGGGAAAAGCCAGTAAATTATTTGTCTGCTAACAATTTGAAAGGACTTTTTCTTTTTTTGGCACAGACTAAGAGATTGCCTGTCTGCACCTTTGACTACTGCCAGACCTCCCCAAGGCAGCACAGTCACCAACCCACAGAAAGAAGCATAATGTATTTACACACTGTGCCTCCGTGGCACCTTGACACCCTCGATGTCTCCTACCTGCATCTGCCTGCTGTGACAGCCAGAGTCTTACAATGGATAAGTTCTGATCTGAGGATGGCTTCAGATGGGAACTGGGGATGCAGCTGTGTCTGAAGCAAGGGCTGGACCATACTGGAACTTAGGATGCCCAGGCAGGCAGAACTTGGTGAGTAATGAATTAGTGGAGAGAAAGGAGTCCTAGGCTGAGATGTACACCATGAATGACCTGTAGGGGCAGAACTTGGACCTGGCAGACTGGAACTAGGCTGCAGTGTGAAGTCTCACCTGACATTGGCAGTATGGTACAGGGCAGGGCACAGCATGGGATTGACCTGGCTTCTGGACTAGCCCCCAAGGGCTTTTAGTTGGCACTGACTGAAATTTCAAGCCTCCATTTTTTCTCCTGCAGGCTGCAGGTGATGCTGATAGTGCTAAATGGAACACAAGGGCTGGCCACCCACTAGGTGCTCAGGAAAGTTCAGACACTTGCCCAGGGGACCTGTGTATATATGGATGGCCTACTGACATCAGCTGTGTTTGTAATACTTCCCTGGATAGTGGATTGCACAGTGTGTTTGATGTACTTTAAGAAGCACTGAGATCCTGGTTCGCTCTCCGCCCTCTGCTTGCCACCCGAGAGCCTTCATCTAGTAGCTGTTTGAAGCAGAAACAGGCATCGAACTAAACCGTACTACTGGAATCTAGTTGCAGAGGGAGAGGAGGGATGAGCAAAGGAGCTAAGACTGTGCTGGAGAAACCACAGCAACAGTGAGAGCATGGAGACCATAGTCGTAAAGCTCGGGAAACAGCATTGGACGGAACCAAGCCCCCTGAATGTGGGTGCCAGCTAGGAGGCCTGTACAGTCTCTGGGGCCTCTAACTGTGGATCCAGTCTTTATCCCTAGAGCATAAATGGACTTTGGGAGCCCATTCCCTATGGAGGGATACTATTGCAGCCCAGATACAGCAAGGAGGGCCTAGGCCCTCCCCCAAATTATATGATGGACTTTGAAGGTCCCCGTGGAGGGCCAGGAGGAGTCGGGGGATGGGTTAAGGGGTTGGTGGGGAACATGGGAGGATGGGAGGGCGAGGGAATGGGGGGATGGATATGTAAATATGAGTGCTTCTAAAATAAAAAATAATTTAATACAAAAAAGAAGAAGAAGAAAAAAGAAGCACTGAGGTTTCCCATACTGTGATGTAGGCTTCTAAAATAAAAAATAATTTAATACAAAGAAGAAGAAGAAGAAAAAAGAAGCACTGAGGTTTCCCATACTGTGATGTAGTATATGACATCATTCTCAGCACAGTGGGACTTGTGTGAAACCCTCAACGCTCATCAGAGGTTCCTGCTGGCAGTGCGCCAGTGTAGATTGCTCTTCTCCTGTGGCCCTTGGGCTGTATGTTCTTAGGGTGTGCTGACCATGGGCTGTCTGTTCTTGGGATGTGCCGACAATGGGCTATCTGTTTTTGGTGTGTGCCGACCATGGGTTTTCTGTTCCTGGTATATGCCAACCATGGGGTGTCTGTTTTGGGTGTTTGCTGATTATGGGCTGTCCTTTGGGGTGTTCGAACCAGGCTCTGCTTTGGGCTGGAAAAGGCCAAAGCTCTGCCTTAGTGTTGAAGATACAATAAGGGAACAGCAAGAAAAGCGTGATGACTCAGCACTGAACTCAAGCACCAACATCTCTCAATTTCCCTGCATTGCCTACTTATGATTATGAAAATCTTTTGGAATGATTGAAAATGTTTTCTGAATATCTTCAGCAAATGTAGTGTGTGCTTACATAACTAGTTCACTGTGAAAATTTAATTCCAGGGTACAATGAGAAAGTTTTTTATTTTAAATATTCCATGTAATTTTCCTTTGCACATATATCACATATGTGCAAATAAATGACAATGTTCATAAAAGAACCCAGGGGCCTCATGTAACCTAGGCAGGACTCCAAGGCCGGTAAAATATCAAGCAAAGCTTCCAGTTCAGTGACAATACAAAGACACATGTGATGGAGGTGGGTGTCATTAATTGTGTTTTACATTCTATTCATATATATATTTCAGGATGCTGGGTGCCTGAAGAGGAAGATAGCCTTTATAATCGTCAATAAACTTCCTGGAAGAAGGCCTCTGTGGGTTTTCCTCCATCCTCTTAACTAGGAGGCATTTCACTTTAAAAAGTCCATTTCCTGGACCACAGATACAGCTCAGCAGGCAACGATGCTTGCCACACACCCTAGTGACCGGGGTTCCAACCCCTGGATTCCATAAGATAGGAAAAGGAAGCCGAGTCCTGCGATGTCTTCTGACTCTCACTGTGCCCTGTGGACTGAAAAATATCTCTCAAAAGAAGAAAACAAGCAAAAAACACCTGAAAAAATATTCAACATCCTTGGCCATCCGGGTGATATGGATTGGAAGTACCCAAGATCCCACTGCCCCTCTCACATTTTCCTTTTAGACCATCTCCATTTCTGTGACTCCCAGTGACCCAGGCTGGTACTCAGACCAGAGCTCCCATCAACCCTCATTGGAGAAACAGCTTCTTGCAGTAGATGGGGGTTACCGAGAGATCCACAAGTGGACAATGTGCCAAGAGCAAAAGAGTTCTATCTAAATGGGATGTCTTATCCAACCTCTTCCCTCAAGCCCCAGGGATCTATGTGAAAGAGGAGGTGGAGTGATTTTAAGCGACAGAGGTGGTGGCTGACTCCAAGGAAGCACTGTCTTCCAGACACACCAGGAGTGCTATACGTATGAACTCTAGAGATGTATAAGACATGCACAGGGTAAAACCAGACAAAACCCCAATATTGAGAAGGAGTAGTGGACACAAATTCCGACCTTTTACCAAGAAGCTATTTGTCATTGATGCCTGCTGGGAAATGGGGGAATCAGTTTTCTCCAGAGGAGAGACTCTGAGTTATCAGCTACAGCTTTGGGCAGGCCCATGCCTAGGAGCAGCTGGCCAACACAAAAGGGACTCCATGTTTATTTGTTTGTTTTCCCCATTGTGCACTTTTATTTTGTTTTGGATTTTTTTGCAGTGTTGGATTTTGTTGATTTTGATTTTGATTTTGATTTTTTTTTTGAGGGAAGGGAGTGTGAACATGAAGTTGGATGGGTAGGAGGAGGGGGAAACATGATCAGAATATATTGTATAATTTTTTAAAAAATAGAAAATGAAGCACAAAAGAAAGTGCTCACAGCTACAGAGCACGCCCCCAGTAAATGTCATAAAAATTAAAAAATATTAAAAAGTAGACTTTCTCTTTTTGTCTTAGCTTGCACAGGGGACTCAGCATCTCCTGCACTGGAGCCTAGAGGAGCTATCAGGGGCACATGCTCTGGGAGAACTGGGGGGTATCAGGGGTTTGACTTTTGGAACATGTCTTGTGACGGACTCCCAATCATTGGAAAGTGGCTCCTTGCACACAGAGTCAGAGACCTGGCTCCCTCTCCAATAGGGGCTAATTGGATGCAAGTCATTCCCACCTTAGCGGGAACCACACAATAGGACAATATAACAGTATAGGGGTGGCCTGTCACCCCTAGGACAATGAGATGGGTCAACTTGAGATCAATCTCATGGGAGGCTGTGTGAGCAAGGATTCTAGAGCCATGTGTGCAGAGGTCTAGAAGCTGAGAGCGATCCCATGGGCATCCACCTACCATCAAGGGCCTGGTGATGAGCCATCTACCCACAAAAGCTGCAGCGAAACCCGCCTGCCTTCACTTCTACTCCCTCAGGACTGTGTGAGTTTTTATTTAGAATAATGGTTTTTTTTTTTTTTTTTTGGCATGGAAGTAATTTATTTGAATCCTTCGAAGTGTAATAATTCATCTCTTATAGCGGCAAGAAATTCCCTATTGTTATTCTTTTTTTCTCTTTTTATTATTATCATTATTATTATTAATTCAAGTTAGGGAACAGGCTTGTTTCACATGTAATTCCCCTCTCCCTCTCCCTCCCCTCACCCCCATTCCTTCTCTCCCAGGAGCGCAGGGGCCTCCCCATTGGCATCCATGATCAGGGGGCTGGATTAGTCCCATACTGGCCTCCCAAAGAGCATCTGGGGTCGATGTGCTCTCCCTTTTTCAGGCCAACTGTTTCTGTGGGTTTCTCCAACCTGGTACAGACCCCTTCATTCTTCATTCCTCCCTCTCTTCAACTAGGTTCCAGATTTCAGCTCAGTGTATTTCTGTGGATGTCTGTCTCTGCTTCCATCAGCCACTGGATGAGGACCCTAGGATAGCATAGAGAGTAGTTATCAGTCTCATTCTAGGGGAAGGGCTTCTAGGCCATCCTCTCCTCCACTGCCCGGACTGTCAGATCGTGTCATCCTTGTAGGTCTCTGGAGATCTCCCTAGTCCCAGATCTCTTCTCCGACCTATAGTGGCTCCTTCTGATATGGTATCTCTCATCCTGCTCTCTCTCCTCTATTCTTCCCCCGACTCAATATCTATGCTCCTCCATTTCTTCTCCTCTACTCTTCTTCTTGTGCTCTTATTGTGGCAGCACCCACTCCCCTACCCTCATGCTCTCAATTAGCTTGGGAGGTTAAGCCACTTCCCATTCCTGGGGTCCATTTATCCCTTAGAGTCATAGAATAATGTTTTGTTTTCTTTTTCTTTCCTTCTTGTTTTTGCCTGTCACCTAGCTCTGAGGGGACAATGCTCAATAATTCTGAATGAAATAAGGAGTCATCCCCCGACCCCCCTTGTACTTGTGCAGCTTAGCAACAGTGATGTCACAGGGATGTCTTCTAAATGACAGCACTTCTGGTTGGAAATCTGCTCCATGTAACTTAGCATGCTGGGACAGTACCTGGTCTCATGTGGTGAAAAGGAGGTCAGAAAACTCTGGAAACACATTCCCAAGTCTCTTCAGTCACTTGTTATCATGACTTATTTGTTCACTGGTGTGTAGGACTGTGTCTTACAGCTGATGTGGCCAGTATTTATGGCAGTGACCAGAGACCAGAAGCTCCAGCCGGGGTTTTCTTGCTGTCCTATTAGAAGTCCTTCATGCCCTTTCTCTCCCCCTCTGATGTTATTCTATGCAGCTGTTCTCGCTTCAGGCTGGGACAGTGATGGCATTTGCTGTGCCTGTACGGAAGACGCTACAAGGTGAATCAATGGAACTTTAGCATGTACTTCAGAGACTGTTTAATAAGAGTTTTGAAATGATCTTAGATTTCTAGAAAGGTCACAAAAATGGTGCTTGTCTGCTTGTCCTGACGTTAGCACCTTGCATGGCCATGGAACAATTGCAAAACGGAAATTAACATTGGCACAATGTTGTCGATAGGTGGGAGACTCATTGCTTTCTCACAGTTTTTCCAATAATGCCCTTTCCTATTTCAGGATCCCACAGAAAGAGCAGGTCTCCCTTACTGTCTTCGAGTCACATCTCTTTAGTCTCCTGGCTTCTGGCAGCTCCTTAGTATTTCAGTCCTTCATGACCTTGACATTGCTGAAAGGCGCTGGACAGTTACTCTGTGAAAGGCCCCTGGTTTGCTTCTTTTGGGTGTTTCTCCAAATTAGATTGAGTTGTGTGCTTTGGTAAGAAACACCAAAGAATCTAGAAGAGTTTTCCTTGTGATGCAACAAAAGGAATATGTTAAAAGGGTTTGGATGTGTCTCATGGCTGGTGATTTGACCCAATCTCCTGGCCAGGTGTCTCTATGGTTTGCTTTGCAACTGGCATATCTTGGGTCTGGGGCTTTGAAAGGGTGGAGAAACTCTGTTCTTATCATACTTGCATGTCCAGTGTTACTTAGCATCTCATGGAAGCCAGTTGTCCTCAGCGGTCATTTCTGTGTGATGGGTGGCTTCAGCAATCACCAGGGACTCTTTATGTGGCCCTTCTCTCACTTCTCCCAGTTTTGTTAGCTGGGATTTTTCTAAGAGGAGTTTATTTTCCTTCTTCCCATTGTTTTAATTGATCTAATTCCACACTTGGAGTTTCAAACGTTTAGATCAATCCTAACGTGAAGTAAAGAGGCCCATGGGAGGCTGGTCTGAAGACACTGGAGTCAGGCCTCTGCATTGGTGTGCATTTGGGGCATGCTCTCAGTCTAGTCTCCCACTCCTTGTTATTGTAGCCTATATCATTTATGTCCACAGTGATGTGGAGATGAGTGCCCTCCCTAGAAGGACTGAGTTATAACTGCTGTCCCTTTGAGACACTGAGGGCGTCAAGATGGCTGATGGAAAAATTGCTTGCCATGATGAGTTGAGGTCAATCTCTAGAACCCATGGTGGAAGGAAAGAAACAACTTCACAAAGTTGTCCCCTGAATTGTTTGGAATAAGCACACACAGTGTCAGCATAAGTTTACACTTAAAAGTGTTTTTAAAAGACTTATTTATTTCATGTGTATGGATACATTGCCTGTACAAATGTCTGTGCACCATGTGTGTGCAGTGCTCATAGAGGCCAGAAGAGGGTATCCTGTAACTGAAACTTCTGATAGTTGTGAGCTGTAACATACATTTACATAGAAATAAAAGGCAAGCAAGATGGTTCAGTAGGTAAAAGAGCTTGCATCTCAAGTCTGATGACCTGAATTTGATGCCTAGAACTCACAGTGGAAGGAGAGAACTGACTCTTGCACTCTTGCAAGTTCTAACCTGACATGGAGCATGAAACATGGACATAACACTCTCTCTCACACACACATTAAACATGTGCTTGATCACATACACAAATACTCATAGATGAAATAAAATAAAAAGCATGGGTAATAAAGGTCATTCGTTGTAGGCTTACAACCACAAGTACTCAGGAGGCTGAGGCAGAAGGATGAGATGCTCAATGGTGGCCTGGACTACAGAGCAAATTCAAGGCCAGAATGAATCACTTAGTGAGGCCTTGTTTCAAAAGCAAGTGGGGAGAGGTGTAGGGACGTAGATCAGTGGTAGAGCAATTGCCTAGTGTGCCTGAGGTTCAGCTCCCATTCCCAGTAACACACACACACATATACACATACACAAGGGGGGCGGGAGGGGGGTAAATGCAGGAGAAAATAACAAATTGTCAATGGATGATGCAGGGATGATAGGAGCAGTGGTTGAGCCAAATCCCCCCTGATGGTGCTGGGTCCCTCTCTGCTGCTTTCTGGATGCACGGGTGTTAAAGAGTATTTCTGCAAGGTTGGTGACTTGGATGTGTGCTCTTGTGCATATAAATGTTTTACTGCCCTTTAGCAGCTGGCATTAGCCAAGATACCAAGATATTTCTTCCTCAGCTTTAAATCACTTGTTTTATAGAGCACAGAGAATTTTTATTATAACATAATTCTCTACATAAAATATCACATTAGAAGAAGAAGATAAAGTTTTGTACTTTCATTCTCCATTAATTTGACAGAAAACAATTTGCAACAAAATTTAGCCAATCAGAATTCATTGTTATGAAGCCAGTCAAGTACCAAGGACAGTAAGGAAGTCTTTAGTGACCAGACCCTGAAGCCATAGTGGGACATTTGGGTAGCTCTGTTAAAAAGATAATTTCACCATGCAATAAGCAGTCAGTTGTCAACAGCTATGTGTCATCCCTATGTAATGTTAGTTAGAAGTCACATAAAATGTGCACAGACCCAACTTTGGGACACACATCCTACTGAGAATGTCTGTTGCCAAGTCTCCTCCAACACTCCACTCCCCTCAGAGGCTGGCGCTGGAGGTAGGTGGCCTCCTGACTTTTGGCCAGCCAGCCTAGCCTACTTGGCAACTTCCGGGAAGTGAAAGACCTTGTTGCAAAAAGTGCAAAGTAGATGGTGTTTAAGGAAAGACAGTTGAGGCTTTCCTCTGGCTGTAACCCCCACTTACCCACCTACATGCACACTCGTGTGTGTGTGTGTGTGTGTGTGTGTGTGTGTGTGTGTGCGCGCGCGCACGTGCTCGCTCTCGTGCGCGTGTGCTACTGGTGGGAGGGTTGGCAAGAAATTCTTGTTCAGTTTTTAGTTTTTATCTAGAAATAGTGAATAAACACAATCATGTTCCCGCATTAGCTGCTGGGTGGCACGTTTCAGGGCATCCTTGGGTTCTGACTCACTGAGTAAGCCAAGCTGCCCACTTGTACAACTGTGCTGCTAAATTAGAGCCAACACAATTCTCACTCTACTTCATAAGCATTTCTTTAACAAACCTTTTACCCATGGCTCCCATGCGGGCCCCTTTATACAGTCACAGAAGTCTGGCTTGGTGGACTTGGTTCCCATTTTTCCTTTAAGGTTCTTAGAATAACATGGGAGGTGTTTGCTCTGTCAGCACTGGCTAGAAGATGGGGTGCTATGGGAAATTTGCAGGTATGGTGTTGAGTGCTGAGCAGGAGGTATTTTTTTTAATGAAGATCTGTTTGTTTACAGTGGTCCCCCAAGCCTGACAGGGTGCCCACTGCTTTGCTTGGTGTTTGTGAGGTTTGTTCTCCAATGAGGTTGTTACCCTTGGGTCCTCAGGGTTTCTAAGGTGGTACTTCTGGGCACACTACAAATCAATGTAATAGAATCCAAGAGAGTCCTATCCACTAACAGTGACATTTGTCAACACTATTATTAACATTTCCTGGGGTTCCAGTGTCCCCCATGGATGGGATTCCTAGGGCACTTGTTAAGCATGCAGATCTGGAGCTAATGACAGGACCTAGGGCGAGTGAACTGTGCTGCGATGATGGGGCCTATCAGATATTGGGACAAACTAAGATGTTTAGTGTCTGTGGGTGTGGTGGAAGTTGCTCCCTTGGCATGGACG